TTTATTTTTAAGAGAAAATAGAAAGTACGCGTACTGTAAATGCGAGAATACCGAGAATACATTGTGACGTCACAAGCTTAGTCCCACCCATTTATGACCGTCACATAGGTCCGCCATCTGAACTTTGTTCATGCAGCCTATTCTGCGCTTTTACCCATCTTTTAATATATAGCATTTTAATACTATGTAGCACAGTGTAATAGGTTCATTTTACATCCACAAAATGATCGTAACAACGCAGTTCGATCACCCATTTTTTCAAAACAACAATCTCTCTCTCGTTGCCATTCCGTAACAGAGAAACTTACCTCTCATGCAGTTTGATCGCGGCGCGACAGTGTCATTAGGTCTTCGATATTCTGATGGCCGTATATGTGTTTGGAAGCTCCGAGGAGACCGCATGTCGTCTCGGTTCGTGACCCGATATCCGCCTAAGGGCCCTGCCGCTTGTGTGATGATTTGAGCAGCCATTGGGTAGACCACAGGCACATCTCTATTTCGGATCGATGTTAATTTGAATGCAGATCATTGGGGGGGGTGGTGCTCCGATCTTCGAGGCTGCCAACGCCATCTTCCAACAGAAAGCAGGACACATGCTGCACGTCGTGTTCTGACCTTCTTCGATACACAGGACAGGACCGGACTAAGTGTGGGAAGCACCAACACATCGCCATTGGCAGAACTGCCCTGGGGTACACGATCTGCAGATCTGTCACCCTTTGGAAACATCTGGTTATGGGTTTCTGAGAGAGTGGCCGCCACTCCTCTCCAGCTAAAACGGTTGATGAAGTGTGGCATAGATTTGAAGCAGCATGGAATGAATTGCCCGTTTCTGTCATCCACGTACAGTTCGACTCCATGCCTACCCGGGTAAGGGCCGTTTTTGCTGTCAGGGGCAGCAGCTGTTTCTACTAACTTTGCACCCCTGTAAACCGTCAAACTGCTTACAAATTTAATCATTTTGTCTTCATGACATACTGTTTACGTACAATAAATATCTTTTTTGCATTTGCTTTCCTTTATGGTGTTGCAATTTTAATGACCAGCAGTGTATACAAATACATATCAGTGAATTCAATGTATATGTATTTTTTTAACCACCTTTTTACTTCAAGTTTTCAGTACAAAATATTTTGAGTAGCTTTTAACGAAAAATTCTTTTTTTAAAAAAATTAAATAATTAGTAAAAATAAATAAATAAATAATAATAATTGTTAATAAAATTATATCTTATAAATAAAAATTATAATAAATTAATAAAATCAGTAATATATAAATTTATCCTGGCAACAACTGAATGCTCTCTCGTATCATACTAAATCGCGAGAAAATTAAAAGGTATTCTAAAAATTCATTAGCTGAGAATTTAAGAAATCAAGTTGGATCCGATTTTTTGTAGGAAGCCTAAATTTTCAAAATTGGAAAATTCTCTTTATTTCTCCTTTTTCATCTTCATATATAAAAGCCATGGAACAGGAAGATAAAACAAAATCCGGAGAAACAGCGAAAGTAATTTTATTATATTATAATTGGCCTTTCTGAAAATAATTTTTTCCCCATTAAGTATTTTTGCTATTTCTTTGAAATTATTCTTTTTGTCAAAATCTAAGCTGCTAAAATGTTAAAATTCACTAGAATTTTTTTTTAATCTAGAAAACATTAAATGATTATAAAATGTATTTAAAATGTCTTCAGTATTATACAGAGGCGGAGGAGATACGTTCAAGATATGTCAAGTAAAATACTGAAAAATTATATAAATGGCAAAAAGTGACATAAATTTATGAAAATCCTATTGTTATATGTGTATAAATTATAAAATTCTAAGCTTACAAGACGAATATTTTTGGAAACTAAATGCATCATCTATTATTTCCAAAGTAGTTTGGATTTATTAATTTGTGATAAATACAGTAGGGACCAGATTAACTTTTATTTCTATATTATATTTCAGAAAAAAATTTAAATTTTTGGTAAAAGCGCAGAATAGGCTGCATCAACAAAGTCGTACGAGGAGCGCGGACGTCATTAAATGGGGGACTAATCTTATGAGTCACAATGTAGTCGCTTTAACTACGTGTACTTCTAGTTTCTCTTAAAAAACAATATAAAGGTTATTATGTAAATTAATAGCACATTCAACTTTTAATTTTTTTATAACATTTAAGTTAGGCGTTATGATAATAAGATAATAATCGTTTAAAATAACCATATACAGTGAGCGCATTCTACCATATTAAAACGATAAACAACGTCGCATCTTAATAGTTGTAGAGCTCAAAATATTAATATTTTTTTTATTAATACAAATAAACATTTTTTTTATTTAATTATTTGTGGAACATTCAATTTTATCATTTACAAATTACCTTTTGCTACGTACAGAAGATTCTTTAATACCATAATTGACAATTTTCATTATTTAAATTTTAAACTTACGTTAAAAAAAACATTTTTTATTGCATAATGAACATCATTTTTTTTTTTTTTTTTTTTTTTTTTTTTTTTTTTTTTTTTTTCTAAAATTCCTAATCACGCTATATTCTGTGCAGGCATGCTAGAATCTCGCATTATAATAAAAAAAACTATTCTCAGAAGAAAGAAAATTATATAATAATAATACTACAAACTGGAACCTAAGCAATGTTCACATACGCACACACACACATATTATTTGCAATACGATACCAACACTACGTATTAAATATGAGGTAACTTTACTTTCAAGCGTTAAGTTTACAGTTTTGCTACGTTGAGTCGATCGTCAGACTATCCATTATATCGTAAATCGGAAAGCGTTATACATATCAAAAAAAAAAATTAAAATACATTTAAAATAAAAATTATTTCTTCAGTAGAAAAAACAACACTAAAATAAATCACTACTATGGACTCACGCAAAAAAAACCTTCTTTCCCCTTTACACAACGATCATTTCGCTCGAAAAACATAAGATTCCACAACTCAGTGTCCTTGTGCTCATTATCTATTTTCACTTAAAGAAAAATCAGACAATTGCCAAATCGGCATGCGCACCACATTGGCTTTGCCCATGTGCACATCGATCTTGGCACTTAAAAAAACCATTCCAAGTTGCACAAACTCGGCATTGCGCACCACATGGATTGCCCATGGACATCGACCTATTTTCACTTAAAAAACATCCCAGAGTTGCACAAACTCTGCATGCGCCCACATTGGATTTCCCATGTGCACAAGACCTCTTTTTCACTTAAAAAAGCATCCAGAATTGCACAAACTCGGATCGCGCACCACATTGGCTTTCCCATGTGCACATCCATCTATTTTACTTAAAAAAACCAGAATTGGCATCGCCACAAAACTCGGCATTGCGACCACATGGGTGATCTATTTTTCACTTAAAAAATCCCAGGTTGCACCAACTCGGCATGCGATTTTTTCACTAAAAAAAACATCCCAGAGTTGCACAAACTCGGCATTCCGCACCAATTGGATTTTGCCCTTGCACATGACCTATTGTACTTAAAAATATCAAATCACCAGCGTTGCACAAACTCGGGCATCGCGCCACCCCATTGGATTTGCCATGTGCCCTCGTCGATTTTACTTAAAAAAAACATCATAAATTGCACAAACTCGGCATGCGCACAAACTCGGCTATTGGACCACATGGCTTTTCCCATGCCACATCGTTTATTTTCACTTAAAAACATCCCAGAGTTGCACAAAATGGCATGCGCACCCCATTGGATTTGCTCCGTGCACATCACCTATTTTCACTTAAAAAAACACTGCACGATTGCACAAACAGCACAAACTCTGCTTGCGCACCACATGCTTGCCCTGTGCACATCGATCTATTTTCCTAAAAAACATCCCAGAATTGCACAAATTGGCATCGCGCACCACTTGGCTTTGCCCATTGCACATTAACCTATTTTCACTTAAAAAAACATCTCAGAATTGCACAAATCGGCATGCGCACCACATTTCTGGATCTTTAAAACTCAGCTATGATTGACTTTCAGGTGCGCATACCCTTCGAACTCGAGACAGTCGTATGCTTTCCAACAATCGGATATAAAATCGATCCTGGTAGAACATTCTCTTTATGATTTCTAGCAATGTTTCGGCACCTCTGTTTCAACAACTCTAAAGACGCATTTATCTGTTCCTCTCTCAACCAAACCAAAAACCCATTTTCCTTCGACTCTTTTCCTCTATGATACTTTTGCTTGCCAAACTTGCTTTCGTCGATTTCGACAATGACACCTTCCTTTCCCCACCCAACTTAACATTCTCCTTCAAACATTACTCCATGCATACTTCTCTACAAAAACTTTTTCCAATCTTGTCACCGTATTTTTAGCAATACGTAATTCCGTTCGTATAAAAAATCATTCCCGCACTTACCCAACCACATATAGGTAACTCGCAAAACATCACACATGGCTCAATTTACTCTTCGCAAACCAGGAGTTTTCGAATTTCGAACTGACTTTGAAATTCGATGCCTACATTCGCCCTCCAGTAACTACACACATCCACTCAAAACCGTCTGTACGGTTTTTTCTCTCTACTAGTTTCATATTTGTTTCACAAATTGGACACTTATACGATATTGCAATCAAACCTTTCTCCATACACCACTCATAAAAACACATTTTTTATCTCTTCGCTCCAACTGATAAAAGAAATCGAGATTCAAATACTCATCCATTCTGCAGTAAGCACCGAATTAAACACACGCATGAATAATCAAAACATTCTTTAAGCAAAAGAATTCTTTTCTGTATTTTCAGAAGTTACAGTTATAATTTTTAATTCATGCATTCAATATTTTCAATCGTTTGCTAATGATCGTTTTCAATCGTTTGGTATCTTAATAATACATTTGTGAGAGATAATTCGTTGCGCTAAATGCTAACAATACCACACAACACACAAAAGTAGATTTACAATTTAAAAAATCTCGCACAGAACATTATAAACCTACTATTTCAACTCAGTTAAAATATAATATAAGTTTTCTTTAAATACAAAGCTATAGCATACTTATAACTTGTTTTGAAGAAGAGGCGTAACCAATATTACGTCATAAAAAGGCGTGTCCAAGCATAAGAGAAGTAAACACAGCATCGACTGATGCAGCCTATTCTGCGATTTAGCCAAATTTTTAGACTTCTTAAAAGATACTTTATTTTTTAACATTGCTTGGAATTGCACCATCCTTGGAAATCGGCATTAAGGTGTTAAACTCTTTGCCTTACCCGTTGCGTTCGCGTTTAGTCTTGAAATCACAAAAATATATTTCAGAACCGAACCTCTAGAATCACTTAAATATTGTAAAATTTGGATTTGACATTGAAATTCCGAGCATTTCAGAAAAATACTGACACAGATTTGATATTATAACTTCAAGTACCTTAGATAAACAGCCAATTTGGATGTATTTCGCCAGCTGTCCCAAATGTTTGTATAACAAAACTCATTTCTTCTATTTAATTCCATATTAGAGATATTTATGCATAAACTGCTACTACTACTACTGCTAATAATAATAATAAAGGTAACAAAATTGTTTAAAATAATAAAATTGTAATAAAATTCATTGACTGTTCGAAAGATCTACAATAAACGTATCTTGTCAATCAGTCGTAATTATATTCAATAGAAAAAAAATTAAAATTAATGCTGAATAAAATAGAGAATAGAAAAGAAAAGTGAAAGTATTCTTCAAGAGGGAGGTTTAAAAAAAGACCAAAAATAAATATTTAGAATGTTAAGACGGCTAAAATTTCATAAGCGGGGTAAGTTGGCGCTAAACTATTTTGGCCTTCAAAATTTGGCGAATTTTTTAGGCTCGCTAAATAACAGTACTAAAATGTAATTTTTAAACGTAAACAGAATAGTAACTTTTAAGTTTTGCAGTAGTCAAACGCCGTTAATTTATGTAAACAGAATAGTAAAATGAGATGATAAAACACTCGATGAGTAAAACAAAGTCCAACAGCTTTGCAAGTAAAAGATAGTTCTATATATATGTAATTTATCATAAAATAGTAGAATGAACAATTCTTGTAAATAATTATTGAGTAAATAAATGTATACACTTATCAGATCAGAGCACTGCGAAGTCAGTTTTACACGTAAACAGAATAGCAAATTATGCGTATTCAGCATCATAAACTAACTAAAATATTCAAGTTACTATCGTCGTGAAATTCAACACACTAAACAACTTTCATTCAAAGCTTTAAATATTCCACATCTTCCGATTGCCATATGCAAGAAACAAAACTTTAAAAAAAAAAAAAAAAATTCAACTGTATAAAATTAAATGAAAACATTCATAAATTATAAACTTCATGTCATATGAAATCCAACATTCTTCCACCAACAACAGCTTAACCTTCTGCAAATATTTATATAAATATAATATTAAACAGTAAAACTTTTAAAAACAAACACAGTATTTCGAAATTAAATTTAAAAAAAATCTGGCTATACTAAATTCGCGCTCTTACAGTTACCGAAAATAAAGCTCTAGGTTTGCCACAAGAAAACTACAACCAAATTAAAATCGCGCCAAATAAAAAACTCTCGCCAAGCTTGGCGCTCACACCGATTATGGAATTTTAACCGTTAAGACTATAAAATGTATATCCGCCCAAAAGTTCGCAGACAATTTTTAAAAAAGCCTAAGCATACAAGAACAAATCATTTTTATGTAAGAATGTGCAACCGCGATTGCAGCCTTCAAGTTCGGAAAGAATAAGAGATAAAGGAATCCAATTAAGGTATGTGTCATTAAACATATATATGTTTACGATTCCAGAATGAAGTTCATTACATCGTGAAAATATGTCTCAAGATCAATGCATGGATTTACTATCGGGCTCAAAAATGCTAAACCTTTCATAATTGAACCTAAATTTAATTTGTCTTGCATTTAAAAATTTAAACTTACGTAACCTAAATTTTCCTGCACTGCGCCACCTTAAATTCTTGACATTTTCCCGCCTTTAAATTTTGCTGTTTATTCCTTTATTTAAATTATAAAAGTTTTGCCATCCCTAAAATTTGTTGCTCCGTGCTTCTCTGAATTCTAAAAATTTTACCCCCTTCCTTCTTCGGGCCAGTGCAATCGCGTAGGTTGCACTAGCTCCAGGGCTGGTTCTGCCAAAATTATCAATGCCGAACTAGTTCTGTCACTGACTGAACGAATAAAAATCATTCAATTCATATTAATTCAAGCCAGGATTCGGCCTCCAAAGAAACATAATAATTTTTCGTTGGTTTTTCTTATAGCTGAGACTTTAAGTAAACACATTAGACTGTTAGTTGAAGATTTCTTGGATGTAAAGAAAACGCACCAACATAAAACTTAAAAATGGGTAAAATGTGAGCTTGGTTTGACGTTGCTACCAAATAAAAAGGTGGTACTTTTCCGTTTTGCCGGCGCAGGCGATAAAGTCGCCAATTATGGTACAGCTGATGCCAAACGGAATATCCTAGCTGGTATTTCAAAACAAATCACAGCCATTTGCAATCAAATTGAGTGTTTCTTTCAATACTGGCATACTATTACATAGAATTTTTACCAGATAGTTCAATTTTATGTCCTAAGGCCATTCATGGTAATTAAGTCAATTAGGATGCAATCACACCGCTCACCCGAAGGCGAAAATATCGAAAAGGCAAAGTCAAGGGTTAAATTCATCAATTCGAATAAGAATGCACTAGCGAATAAAGCACTGTGGTTTTACATAATTTCTGAGTAAGCTATTCGTACGAATTGAAATAATTCTTGCATTTACACTTGTATTCCGGATTAAGATTTAACTTGAAATTAATGTAGATAATAACTGACAGAATTAGATTTTTGTAGCGTAGTTTACGTGAGATAAGATCACTTGGGGTCGCGTGATAAGAAGCGGCGAATCAGGATGATGAACTATGAAAGCATAGTACATTCTTAAATTAATGTCTTTTTTACAAATTTATTGTCTTTATTGTTTTTTTACAAAATTTTAAACGATATTTAAAAGTTTATGCCTTCAAAATAAAAAATTCTTAGAACTAACATTTGTTATGTGTATACTGTATGTTGTCGCCAATAAAGTCTGCTTGGCGAGATTTGCGCTGGCGAAACGGTAAAGTGCCAAAAAGGTTCAACATATTTTTAAATCTTATAGAAAGAGAGCAAGGATTTTCAACTGGTGGGAATCATGGCGTTGTTTGCAGGATCTTTTGATCTACGATTCAGACTGGGTACTATTCTGTTAGAGCGTTGTCAGTTTATGAAGAAAAATGCGAAGAAAGCTGCTATAACAAACGTTAAACAACGTTTCAAATATCGAGGCTCGAGATTTCTAGTTTTCATTTGAAATATCATCACTTTATTTTTTTTTTTTTGGGCCATATTTCGTTTGCACTTTTTAGAAAGACGATGGACTACACAATTTTGCAATTACCTAATAACGAAGAAGCTGCCACAAGATTCTTTCAGGACAAAGGAATAATTCTTAGCAATTGACTTTGTTCTCAAAATCATTCGATGAAGACTCAAGCAAGATTATCAGCTTCTATATCGCGTTGTTACGCTGTGAAAAAAAAAAAAAAAAAAAAAGTTTTGAGAACTGAAACAGGGTCTGAAGGCTCGCGTCTTTCTTTCCTCAATGTCGTTCGTTTTATCTATCTGTAATGTTAGGAATAGACGCCAACTGAATTTTGCCAACTTCAGTTAAAAATCAACCATAATACGAAAGTAAAATTGGAATAACTACAAAATTGGGCAAGTAGTTTGATGTCTCGTAAAAGAAATAAAATCGGTGGAAATTACAACATCATAGCAACGGACGAAAGTCTTTTTACAAAAAAAAAAAAAAAAAAAAAAAAAGTTGGTTGGGTTCTTTCGGAACAGTGGGATGCCATACCCAACCTGTGGAGCGATTGTGGGGTAGTGCTAAACGGAGTAATAAACGTCAGCTGGGAACTGCTCGCCACCATTTAGTCATATTTGATAGAATTTTATGTGGCGTCGGTTATGCTGAAAAATTTTAATTTTTTTCTATAATTTAGAATGATATTTGTAATTTTATGCCACCTGTTTAGATTGAATTTCGTTTTGTTTTGTTACTTTTTGCTTATGTGTAGAATATTCTAAATTAAAAGATTAAAACGAAAAATTTACTTTCTTTAAGAATTATGAAATTAAAAAATTTACTTTTTACAGAACGTATTTTTTCTAGTCTTTTGAACTCTATTATTATTTCGCAATTTTATACTTAGCAACAATTGGTGCCCTCCCCCAAAAAAAAGTGGCGCATTTTTAACTGACGCCGCTCTAACGGAATAGTACCTCAGACTGTACCAAAAAACGAAGACCTGAAAAACTTAAATTCTGACAGAAAGCTCATACTAAAGATTAACTGGAGTTGAAATAACATGACTCAAATGAAGTAACATGGGTTAAATTTAAGCGTCAAGGTAAGTATAGAGAAAGCAATAGAAATGTTTCTGTTATGGGAAGGCTCACCAAAAAAGTAACCTGCCTTCAGTACCGGTGCCATGATCTATGGAGGAAGCCCTTTGCTCAACTGTGAGCAAAGATGGATTGTCCATCTGCCAAATAAAGCAGTATTCCAGCTTTATTCTGCCTTCCTGTTCTCTCCGTCTAACACATCGGGCCAGAAAGAAGGTGTTCATTTCCATATTATCACGAGAAGCGAAATTTTCGTCCGCTATCCATTATAATAACAGTTTATAGATTTACAAATACGTAAATAATTCACATTTATTACGTACAATAAGCATTTATGTCTTACAGCATAAAAAAATTCAATTAGAAAGCTGTCAGTTTTACTGATTGTTTTGAATGCATCACTTAATCAAATAAATAATTTTGAAAAACTTAGGGGAATGAATTTTGACTTGATAATTTTGAATGAAACTTAGAGGAATGAATTTGTGGAGAGAAGACTGAATAGAGGAATAACATTTTAGAATCACTGTGATAGCGTTCTCATTTAAAAAGCTATCTTATGATGAAGAAACATCCGTATGGAATAGCTTTTTTAAATTGAAAATATGATTTTATTCTTAACGAATCCCAAACAATGGTGTAAGTTTTGCCGACCTTTGAATGAGTCCCCATCTGCTTCATGTAAATAAATTTCGAGCGATTTTAGAGTACTTATTTTGTAATATTTTTTCAGCTAACAAGGTTCCTTGACGTTTTATTTTAAAAATCACGTATAACTTTCTTAGCAACATTGTTACTGATATTTACTCAAATATTTCAGAGTGATGCTGGAAGTTCTGCTGATTCGGGTACCATAGATCAAGCTTTTAAAGAAATATTTGAAGTTTTTGCCAAATTTGGAGATCGAGAGAGTGAAGGCAACATTACCCTGAAGAATATCGACAAATGGCTAAAGCAAGCAAACATCCTGGGCAAGAAAATCACTAATGCAGACACTGCCATCACCTTCTCAAAAATTGCCAAGTAAATTTAGTTTTAAATTTAGAAGTTTATAGAAATTTCAGATAACTGGTCATACATAATAACTTTTCCCTTTCTATATAATGATTTTAGTTGAAATATGTATATTGATGCCAAGTAAATCCCTACTTAGACAATGTTTTCAATACTTGTGGTCTAAGGTAACGCAGGTTTGTCTAGTATTCCTACAAGTTTCAGTTACAGACAGATTCAAATTTTCAGTTGTTCAGTGAGAGAATCTAAGTATCAGTTTGTAAAAGCTCTCTCTGATAGTAGAAACTTGAGAATAATCTCGTATTTTGATTTATAATAAATCAAAGTATGTATTCCATTAAGGACAAGATTAAAACTGGACTTGACAGTATATTGCTTCAGATTTATTCTTAACATATAACTCGATTTATGCTTAGCATTTCGAAATGAGTAAAATTAGTCAAGAAAATTAAAAACTGCAATTAAAACTAATATATACTCGGAATTAGCGGTATCGAAACAGCATAGGAACCATCGGAGTGATATTTTCAAAATAGCGTATGTTCTCGTGTGCACTGTAACGTCAGAACACTCGTGTTGTCTTTTAAATATTTATTTTAAAAACTTAATAAGAATTTCTTGAGTATTAAATAAAATAATCACATCATTTCAGCCATAATACATACAAAGGCCAGTGACGCGGCGACGACTCTGGTATGCGTCTGCTTTCTTTCGTTCACAGCATTTTTTTCCCAAAGCCCTCTCTTCGTTTTGTTAAAAAACTTGGAATGGGGGTACATTAATTAGTCCCTTATGTCCGGAAACCTCACCAGTAGTTTTCCGCAACACCTTCCTTCAAAGTTCTGTTATCAATATGTCTCTGAACAAAAAGGAAAATCTTCTCATTCCGAGGTGTGCATATGTCGTCACAGCACACTTGTGCGCAAACTAAGAGACTTTGTACATTATGTCGAATTTCTGAAAAACTAATGGACAGATTTTAATGAAATTTATTATGAATATGCATTTATAACATGAAAAGGGATTTATAACATGAAAAGGATGATTCCAAAGTCATTTTATATATGCTCGATTATCAGTAAAGCTTATGGTTCAGGGATGGTGGATTATCAGTAAAGCTCATGGTGCTCCACGCTATGACATCGAGTTGAAAATTAGTCTAATATGAGGTATGGTTCCCTCCTTATAGCCAGACAAATAGCGTAGCATCGCCGCATACTGTACAAAAGGCAGTTGAGGAGTCCACTCCTGCGGCAAGGCAGTTTTCATCCCTGCAGCAATCCATCCCACTCCTGCGGCAAGGCAGTGGGGCTCTCAGAGGAGGATGGTGAAATGAAATTACCCTCCCAAGAAAGTTCCAGACATAGTCTATGGGGTGAAGGTCAGATCTGGATAGCAAATCCATGCGGTGAATATCCTCCTCACTTTCTAGGTAATTATCGATCAACTGTGCCCTATGTGGACGAGAGTTTTCGATCGTTAACAAGAACCCAGGACGAACTGCGACCCTGAAAAGTCGAAAATTGGGCTGCGAGATCTCTTCTTTATACATCATAGCAGTCAGAGAACCTCTGTAAAATACAAGCAGGAATGTGAGGCCGTTCAACATGGCCTTCCAAACCATTACACGGCCGCCGCCGTAATGATCATTTTCTCTGAAGAGGGAGGGAGAGATGGTATTGTGTTCGAGGCTCTTTCTGGATATAGGTACACCGGGAATCAGTGTCCAGGCTGAGTGGGGCCCACCAGCGGCCGAGCGCTGAACACTGGTAGTTCGGTCCGAGGTTCGAATCCCGCGAACGGGCTGGCTGCGTGGACGTTTTCGTGGTTTTCCCCATGTGCAACGTGCATACGAGCCATTTGTCCTTAGAAAGTGCTCCACGAAGGCATCCCTCCCCTTAAGCAGATAGCCCTAGTGTGCTTTGCCGTATTCTCAATACACCACCACCACCAGGCTGAGTGACGTCTGTTAAACGCACTGTGCTCCACTGAAGTCTGATTTAAGGCATATATTGTCTGCACCATGCTAAATGCACTTTCTTGTGCATTCTTGTGCACTTTCTTGTTTTTCTGTGTGATGCAGTGAGCAGAACGGCTCTTCTGGCATACAGCTCTATCTCGGGAAGCCTTTGGTCAACTGCAGACCATGAAATTCGGGTTCCAGTGGTAGCATACAGCTCACATGAGAGCTGTAAAGCTGTAGCTGTCCTGTGTCGCCACATTGAGAGTGACAAATAACGATTCTCATTCGTCATTGTGAATCTTGGTCGATCTTGTACAGATCTTCTCGATATAGATCCAGTGTCTTAACACGGTTTCCACAAAATGTAGATGACACTGGGCGCTACGTTGAGCTGTGTAGCCACCTGTGCTTGTATTTGGCTTACCTGCAATCCTCCGACAATTCTTCATCTCATTCCGTGATCCATACGTTCCTGGATACTCATTTTACATGATACTTAATAAAGTTTACCTAATTCTTGCGTTTACATATTCTACTCTGAATATTTGCTGAAGTCTTCGGATGTATGTCTTCGGAGCTCCTTTGGCTCAATAATTTTGTAAAAATAGACATAATTTGGAAATTGTCTTAATTTTACCCAGAAGTGTTATATGCGTTTTATAAAGTTAAGAACTTAAAGGAAATCAAAAGTAATGTTAATTGTTATATTACATCATTCACTGGTGAAACAATAAGCTTCATAAAATGTGCATTGTAGTTATATACTGCATGATTTTCAAAGATCGTTATTGTGGCTGAATGCGTGAAAGACAAATGGCATAACACTGTTCAGTATTTTTAGCTATTTCTTAGCTAAATTCTGGTATTCTTAGCTAGCATACACTGCTACTAGACCAGCTTGAAAGTTTGTTAGCCACATCCCTAAGACTAGAAGATGAATACAGCAGGGAAAGGGTGTAAAAAAAAACATTTTAATTAAACTCAATTATTTGCAAACGGCACATCTCGGTGTTTACAAATCCACCATCCACTTGTGGCGATAAAACTAAATATAATGTTAAACTTAACTGAAAGATAAGCTAGTAGTTCAAGTCTACACAAATTAATTTAACCTAGCAGTTTGACTCGGAAATTTACAAAGCCGTGATAATAAATTTTGGCGGTAAGAATATGAAGCCTAGATTCAGAATTCATTCAGCTGGTAGAAACAGCAATGTGTACACTCAATAGTGAAACACGCTGTGACTAACCTTTTCTGTACTTAGTTTACACTCTCGCTTACTTTAACTCATTGACATACTGACAAGGAAACGCAAGAGAAACAAAATATAGCAGGAAAGGCTAACAAATTAAAATAATTGTTAATAAAAATAATATACTTCACGCAGTCTTATGTATGGGCAAATGTAATATTGCAGAATTGTCTCAACATTCTTATTTGTGATGAGGCTTATTAAGCATTTTTTTTATTCTTTGTTTAAAATGCTTTGCTTCTTATAAATTTCAATGAAATAATGAAGAAGAGGTAGAATTTAGTATTATCTTGCTCCTCTATTCTGAAAGATGAGTTTAAAAAATTAATTCATTAGTGGTTTTTATTTACTAACTATATTTTCTACTAGTCCATCAAATTAATAATATTGAAAATTATTTACCAAATTAACCCTATGTAACCGATTGTTGTCCTAAAAAATTAATTGAGAGCCAAGTGTATTCCTTATATTTAAAACATAGTTCTAAGATCTATGGACTCAGCTTAGGGTCAGCAGCCACAGGATCTCCGTCAAAGACCTGAAAATCTGTGTGCCAGTCTACCACGGTGTCTATCCAGACCATCAAACCTCCTCTAATATTCTTGTTTATTTCCCGGATGTTGGAGGATATGAAGCGGGTTTATTGATGAAGATATATAGAGAATCGCTCATTAGAATGAATCGGAACTCACTTGTGAAGGGAACGGCTCCCACTGATTGCTTGGTCTAAAGTCGGTTTTCTCTGCATTGTGTTAAACTGGCTTTCTTGTACGCAGAAGTGAGCAAGACGAAAACAGCAGGATTTCTTGAAAATAGATGATATTTTAGAGCCCTATATTTAAATATAGGGCTATATTTGCCTTTCCGACTGTTTAAAAATGAATGATATAAAAGAATGTGCTTTTAGCTGATCAGGAAAAAAAAAAAAAAAAAAAAAAATCTGAAATGTTTCAGATTTTAAATTACGTCCAAAGGGGCGTTTTTTTAACGTTTTGAGTGTTACCTTTATTTATTAAATATCATGTTCTTTGCACTTAAACCATAAAATTCAGTTCAAGAGCAATATCGCAAAATAATGTTAAATTAAGCATATCTTTAGAATTTCCGATATACACAGTCTCGCGAGCTAGAGATAAAAGTATTTTTTTTTTCTATATAACGTTGCCATTTCTCGCTTTTAAAGCATTGAGTTTGTAAATAAAAAATTCGTTAAAGTTTTACAAAATATAAAATCTATAATAAAAAAATAAATTCCAAATTTGGGATTTCAGATGCCCATATTCGCAGTAGGATTTCGTCATTCAAAATTCGATGGCTCTATGTACCATTGTTTTATCACAATGCGAGAAATAGACAATCATTTATGCAGATTTTTCATTATTTAATTTCTTCAAATATAATGCAGGACTCTAACATTTTTGTGGCAACAGTTTGAAAAGTGAACCGACGTTTATGAGTCCGGCGCAAAATCGCAAAACGAAAACAATAGTCCTTCAGGGACAAAGCCCCTTTGGACTAAAAAGAGAGAGTAAAACTAATTATTTTAAATTTATATATATATATATATATCCTATGGATTTAAAAAATTGAGGAATTGCCCATGACTAAAAGTCGGCAATAGAATTTTGGGTAAAGTGCAGAATCATCCACTGCTTGACGCGTTTTTAAGAACTGCACATACTCGGTATCCATGTGCACATCGACCTATTTTCACTTTAAAAAAAAATCCTAGAATTGCACAAAAATGGCACTGCGCACACCCTTGACTTTATCTATATACACACCGAGCTATTTTCACTTAAAAAGTAAAAGAAAATTGACAAAAATCCAATTGTTTTTACCCTTGTAAAAAGCGGCGAACAAATAATTGAGGGTTTCTGCACTTTACCGAGAATATTTTCAAAGAAAAGGCATCATTCATTATAGAAAATTATGTTTGAACAACCAACGAGATGAAATTATGCTTTAGCGATAACTCGGTAGCGAAACAGAGATGCAGGAATAGAGATTCAGTTATGTTTAGCAATTTTTATATAAATTATATAAAAATGATCTGAAATAGTTATTTACTCTTGTGCTTCCATTCAGTTATATTCAGACGGTACTTTTCCGTTTCGCCGGCGCAAGCGATAAAGTCGCCAGTAATGGTACAACCAATTCCAAACGAAATATCCTCGCTGGTAACCTTTTATTTTAACTTTTACATTTTCAAAACAAGTCGTAGCCGTGTTTTATCAGATTGATTGTTTCTTTCAATACTGGCATACAATTACATAGAAGTTTTACCAGAAAGTTCAATTTTATGCCCTAAGGCCATTCGCGGGCGGTAATTAAGTAATTAGGATGCACTCACACCGCTCACCCGATGGCGAAAATATAGAAAGGGCAAAGTCAAGGGTTAAATTCATCAATTCTAATGAGAATGCACTAGCGAAGTAAAGCGCTGCGGTTTTAATTTCTGAGTAAGCTATTCATACGAATTGAAATAATTCTTGCATTTAATTTGTATTGCAAATTAAGATTTAACTTGAAATTAATGTAGATAATTACTGAGAGAATTAGATTCTTGTAGCGTAGTTTACCTGAGATGAGATCACTTGGGGTCACGTAATATGAACCGGTGAATCAGGATGTTGTACGATGAAAGCATAGTAAATTCTTAAATTAATTTCTTTTTACAAATTTGTCTTTATTTAATGGCTTTTTATAAAATTTTAAACAACATTAAAATATTTATACCTTCAAAATAAAAAATTCTTAGAACTAACATTTGTCAACACGTTTTATGTGCATACTGTGTGTTTCCGCCAATAAAGTGTACTTGGCGAGATTTGCGCTGGCGAAATGGAAAAGTACCATTCAGACTTTTTATATAAATTATAATAACAAAAAAAGTATTATACGAAATTAACATTTCATCTAAATTAAAACATCAATCTTAGATAGTTATTTACTATTATACTTCCTTTTCTTGCCACAATTATTTTTGGCAGCATTGGCATCAACAATAGTTTGGCGATTTTTTACGGCCCTCGAAACCAAATAGTACCGAAATTATTTATGTTCGGCTCAATGTTTTGTGAGTAACATTCGTAAATCTTCTATGAACAACTAGCCGTCGGTTTCTATTTTTCGTGATGAGTCTTATAACAGCACTAAATCCATATTGGTTCTGGTTTTTGCAACCAGAATTTGTGGTATCTTTGTTCAAACACCCGTTTCAGCTCCTCATTTGTGAATAATTCAATAAATTTCTCCTGTATTAGTATGAATTCATCTGAGAATGTGGGTCTACTTGTGAAAGGGTCCAACAGCCAATCGGGAATAGCCACGTTAAGCTCGTTTTTGTAATTCTGAAAGCTTCTTTCTTCTCACCCCAAGTTTTGTTTTTATATAAAAGGTTTTGCAATAATCTCAGATATTATACTTTTAGTTTTAATTAAATTTAATTGATTACCTTGTAGCTTCAAACTAATTTCGCTAAATTTGGCAAACACATCAGTCATATAAACTATATCATTTTTTAATTAATTACACTAAGTAACAAACACATCTTTAATTTCCAGGAACTGCAACATTGAATCAAAGATTGCATAATGTCGATCCAAACAGGCACTTTTAGATAATCAAAGGACTTTCGTGGTTACGTAGTAAATTAATCTCTCATTTAGGGTATTTCTTTTGACTTCAGTAACTACTCTAATCACATAAACTAGTGAGCACATGCAAGCAATCACCAAGATTTTTGGCGACTAAATGTTATCGATGAATGTACAGATAGTACGATAGGTATACTTTAAAGCCTCGATATCATCCTACCATTGCTGAAGTACCATCAGCAGCAATGCCGAGAATATTACTAAAATGTATAGCTTTCACATCGGAAAGTCATTTGGTACTTTTCCGTTTTGCCGGCGCAGGCGATAAAGTCGCCAATAATGGTACAACTGATGCAAACGGAACATCCTCGCTGGTAACCTTTTACGCCTCATTTTCAAAACAAGTAGCAGCCATTTCTTATCAGATTGATTGTTTCTGTTAATCCTGGCATATAGTAACAGAATTTTTATCCAGATAGTTCAATTTTTTTGCCCTAAAGCCATTCGCGGTGATTAAGTCAATTAGGATGCAATCACACCGCTCACCCGAAGGCAAAGATATAGAAAAGGCAAAGTCAAGGGGTTAAACTCATCTATTCTAATGAGAATGCACTAGCGAAGTAAAGCACTGCGGTTTTACATAATTTCTGAGTGAGCTATTCGTACGAATTGAAATAATTCTTTCATTTAAACTTGTATTTCAAATTAAGATTTAACATGAAATTAATGTAGATAATTACTGAGAGAATTAGATTCTTGTGGCGTAGTTTACCTGAGATGAGATCACTTGGGGCCACGTGATATGAACCGGTGAATCAGGATGTTGTACGATGAAAGCATAGTAAATTCTTAAATTAATTTCTTTTTACAAATTTATTGTCTTTATTTATTGGCTTTTTACAAAATTTTAAACGTTATTAAAAGGTGTATTCTTTCAAATAAAAAAATTCTTAGAACTAACATTTGTAAACATTTTTTATGTGCATACTGTATGTTGTCGCCAATAAAGTCTGCTTGGCGAGATTTGCGCCATCGAAACAGAAAAGTACGTCTTTTTAGTTCATTACGTATTATTTCACCTCTCGTGTCAGTTTCCAAACATTTGATAAATAACAATTTTTTGGAATTTTTTTTCCTTATTTTACAAATCTCACATCAAGTAAAGCTTCGTTTCGTAGTAGTAAATTTGTTTGATCAAGCTGCATAGAGAATTTAGATGTTTTTAAATACTCACCTAAAGAATTTTCTATGCATTGAACCATTTCGTCAATCCTTCCTTGTATTGTATTATTACTCAGAGGAATTGTTATGATATCAAAGCTGATTTTTGCAGCACGGTGCGGATTACTTTATTTACAGCTGTAAGACTCCTATAAGTTGCTCACCAATGGTGTAACTTTCCGACTTCGCAATCAGTAAAGATATGTGTGTGTGATTATGTCAAAGCCTCGCGGGCTATCTGCTTAAGAGGAGGGATGCCTTTGTTGAGCACTTCCTAAGGGAAACTGGCTCGTATACACGTTACACATGGGGAAAGCCACGAAAATGCCCATGCAGCCAGCCCGTTCGCGGGATTCGAACCTCGGACCGAACTACCAGTGTTCAGCGAATTTACCACTCGGCCGCTGGTGGGCGCAATCAGTAAAGAAATGTTATAAGAAACACACTGTCAATCATTATCTTGCTTGATGCTGCCGCAATGACGGTGTTTTCAATTATTTTCCTTCGGTTGTTTTAAAACAAAAATTAATATTTTTTAATCTTTTTTGTCGCTGTGGACTTTTGTCAAATTAATATATTTTGTCAAACACTTGATAAATAACAATTCTTGGGAAATTGTTTACTTCTTTTACAAATTCCACATAAGCTAAAAGTAAAGCTTCATTTTCTGCTAAATTTGACTCGTCAAGCTTATAGAGAATTCAGACGTCTTTAAATACTCACGTGAAGAATTTTCTATGCATTGGGCTATTTTGTCAGTCTTTCCTTGTATTGTATTATTAATCAGTGGAATTCTTATAATATCATTCGTAATTATAATAGCTTTATTGATTCGTCTGAGAAATTTTATTGCGCAGAAGGCACATAAATAAAGTACTAAATATTGATAACGGAATAAAGCTTTTTAAATAATAAAAATAAAGCCATTTAAATATTCACCTCTATATGTCTGCATTTTTTTGACCCACTCATACTGATAACTGAAAAAAAAAAAAAAAAGGACAGGATTTGTTTTATTTTAATCATGACATAAAAATTGCTTTTAGTTTATTTATTTCTATTTATTTTAACATTCATAATAATGAAAAGGAGTGGTAATTATTTTATTTTATTCTCTCACCCATCCCCCCACATTGCCCATACACATCCATATTAATTTTAATTTGCGACAGACCCCCTCCCCTCAGTGGTCATAAGGACTCTGGATTTCAAAGGAAGTCACTTTGAAAACCACTCTTTCGGATTAATCCTCATTAAGAAGTACAGAGATGGTAACTTTCTGATGAAAGTGTATTTAAGTTTTAAAGAAGATAATCAATAAAACATGGTAACTTGCTTCAATACTGAAAGAGGGAACTTGTCGCCAATAAGCTCTAAATATCGAAAACAATCTCCAAAGCTAACTTCATACCCTCAATTGAAGATTAGCCTTATTCAAAGTTCAACCTTATAAGACTCGATGCAAATGCTGCAATTAAACATATAAACGACTCTTTGCCATATTTTGAATTTAGAATATAAAAAAGGGACCATATACTGTAATTTAACTTCAATACAAAAGGATGTATACATTTCTAATTCTCTCTCTTTTTACATTATTAGAACAAAGAAACGCATGGACTTTCACGAGTTCCAAGAATTTCTGGACACCCTGGCAAAAGATAAGAAGATGGAAGCCCAGGAACTCATATCCCAACTGCAAGCAACTGCAGCTCCCGAGCTCAGCAATGCTACAGTGAGTAATAAACAGAAGCGATGCCAGATAATTTGAGGGTATTTAATAACATTAAATGCCTTCTTTGAGCATTAGCTTAATTCATAAAGAAGTACAACTAAAATACAACACATGTTGGGCATTTTGAATTTTAAGATCTGGCACAGGTAATGGTAGTTTAATGAAGTTCAGACGAAAAGGCTCGGTGTGCTTTGAGAGGCAAAACATTCTCTTTATTGGAAATAAAATTGTAAACTGCAACTGATAATACGATAAAGTGGTGTTTGTTATATCCATTCGTTAATGTTACAATCAGTTATAATTTGCGAAAAACCCGTATACTTGCCCAGCGTTAATTAAATTATAATGTGCAGCAGATCAGTCCACGTTTCACTATATTATTTATAATTTACGATTTATATTTCCATTCAGAAACTCAGAAGCCTTTTATTTGAGAAAGGGAATGTTTTGCCTTTCAAAATACATTGAACCTTCTCGTTTGAATTTCACTAAACTACGATTAACCGTGCCAATTTTTTTTTTCTTTGGTCACTACTAAGGCAGAAGCGATGGTCATTTTATTATACCTAACAAGTAGCCACCGTTACCTCATATGAAGGAACAGGCAATTTACATCCATGCCTTCTCCGGGATTCAAAACCGAGCACTTCGGTACGGCAGTCAGAATCACTAACCACATTTTCGTCTGGGCGGCCTTGAGCCAAATCTTAAGTTAGGGTACTTACGTATTATCCTGTCGACCGCGGAAATTGTCTGCTATCAGACCATGAGAGTTGGTGGTGATGCCGCCAAATTTGCGCCGACAGTTCCAGCGGAATTCAGAAGGAATTAACTCCTCTCTGTTTAATAAACAATCAGAGTATTCGACCCACTTTGCTTTTGCGTTTCTTAAAAAACGTTTCGTCGGTTTTCTCTATCTTGTTAGACTTTCTCATTTTACTGGAGGCTCTGAGTAGAATGCTTTAAGTACAAACTTTATGCAGGTAACTGTCACATTCTATTACTGTTTTTTTGGGCATGCATAGCTGACTGCATAGTGTCCATTAATACACACATTCTTGATGGTAGGATACCATAACTTCGAAAATAATCCGCTGCTTGTTGTTTTGGAGAAGTCCCAAATTTAAATCATTTTTTTTTTTTAAATTCAAAATACAAGGCAATAGCACTTAATTTATTTCATTGCTCATAAAAACAAAAGGTGGCTTATCAAGAATTAATCGGAGTAACATCAAGCAAAAGCACAGATGCTGGGAGTATCTTGTTGCCTCTCGTTTATCCATAACTGGCACTAAATCGCTCTGTTTGGTGACAATTTCACGTTGACGGGATAATACGTAAATATCAAAGTTAACTACTGCTTACTTCACATTTAAATCAAAGCTTGTTTCTTACTATTGTTACCACGTTATATACTGAAAAATCACTATTTTAAAGTTTGCTAGGCTTCTTTTTAGGCTTCAAAGACAACAAATAGAAACAACTGTTCAGAAACTCTAAACAAATAAAACTAAGCGGTACTATTCGGTTTTGAGGGCCGTAAAAAATCGCCAAACTATTGTTGATGCCAGTGCTGCCAAAAATAATTGCGGCAACCCTAACGCAAGAAAGGAAGTATAATAGTAAATAACTATTTAGAATTGATGTTTTAATTTAGATGAAAAGTTGATTTCATATAATATTTTTTTATTATTATAATTTATATAAAAAAAGGGCTAAACATGATTGAATGGAAGCATAAGAATAAATAAATATTTCAGATCATTATTATAATTTATATAAAAATTGCTAAACATAACTGAATGGATGCCTACATCGCTATTTCACTACAAAGTTATCGCTAAAGCATAATTTCGTCTCGTTGGCTATTCAAACATAATTTTCTATAATGAATGATGCCTTTTCTATGAAAAAATTCTCTGTAAAGTGCAGAATCGCCCACTTATTTGTTTGCCGCTTTTTACAAAGGTAATGGATTTTTGTCAATTTTCTTTTACCTTTTAAGTAAAAATAGGTCGATGTGTACATAGATAAAGTGAAGGGTGTGCGCAGTGCCATTTTTGTGCAATTCTGGGATTTTTTTTAAAGTGAAATTAGGTCGATGTGTACATGGATACCGAGTATGTGCAATTTTTAAAAACGCGTCAAGCAGTGGGTGATTCTGCTTTTTACCCAAAATTTCATTGCACACTTTTCTTCATGGGCAATTCCCAAATTGTTAAATCCATAGTATTTTAAAAATTAAACTAGTATTTCAATGGCGTCTTAAGAAATATAGAACTATATAAACTTACGCAATCTTGAAATCAACGCGTACGCTAGATTTGGCGCGCTGTTAAATGGGCGCGTTTGCTAGATTTGGCGCTTTTGTTAAATGGGCGCGTTTGCTAGATTTGGCGCTTTTTTTTGTTGCAATATTTTTACGGTCCTCAAAACGGAATAGTACCAAAAAGCTTTAAAAATTATTATTTTACATTTAAAGCATGCGACTGATTCAAAATTCACAGAAATAACTATTTTATAGCAAAGACTTCCCCACCGGTGAGCATTATCAATCACCTGCAATCTATCAAATGCCTAATATTAATAAGATTTTCTTTTATTTCATAGTCTCACTTCTTATTATAATTTCCAGTGCAACAAAAAGTGAGTATGGACGTGTTCACTTTGTATCTACTGAAGATTTCGCAATTTATATTTTTTTTAATGTTGATTAAACGTTGGTCTTTATTATATTGATCAAATATTGATGTTTATTATGGTTATTAATGTTGAAAAAATATTTTTATAGTGATAGTATGTTATCTGAATATTTAATTTGAGTCACTCTGAACTTTTAAGAGAATCTAAGATCATTCATTTTTTTTTTTTTTTTTCAAAAACTATTTATTTATTCCCCCTCCTTTTTTGGTAATTTTTACTGCATCGAATAAGATGTACTCATATAGCAATAGCATGTCTTTTTTTCCCCACTGAACTCTATGCATAAAATTTGTAGTTTCATAAGCAGAGTTTTCGCTTAAATCGACTTATGATTATTGTTAGTATTATTATTATTATTATTAGTTAGTAGTAGTAGTGTTATTGCTTATGAGAAGACTGAAAGTATTAGATTGCGCTAAAAAATCAAACGGGAAAGGAATGAGTTGGTACATAGAGATTTTTATTTTTCTTAAGAGAGATTTATTTATATTATACCTAGGGATTTAGACGGGTTTCTGCCTGATAAGAGGGAAGCTTTCGCTACGAACTTTCTCAGAAAAACTAGTTGATATATTATTTACACACAATAAAATCCTTTAAAAACACTCATGCAGCCAACCTGTTTTATTACCACCGGGCATAAATTTAGCTGTGTTTCTTCTGTGTTCAAAACTATGGCCTGTTTCGTACTACCCGCCTTTAAACAAGTTTCCAGTTTCAAGGGAGGAGGCACATCTTTTCTTTGTGAAACTGTACATTTTCCACTTCTCAGTTTAATTTCTGCAGCTTTCAGTCATTCATACTTCAGTTTTAACTCACGAGAAATACTTCTGTAGCATAAACTTATGTTTCCACCTCTCTCCTCCTGGTCACGACACCTCATTCTTCATTTGTGAACTAGCTTTGTTATTTTTAAACAATTGAGTAATTATAAGGGGCGATTTAAATTCACGGTATGGGCGTAGAACATTATTCGGTAAATGGTGGGCGTATTATGTTCAGCATAGCCATTTCAATCGGAACACGCATAGAGATTCAAACATTCCAATATGATTTAGCGCTGGTTCAACCGGTCATGGACCGTTTTCTTGCTGAAATACCATTGACCGATTAGACAATCACAGTTATGTATAAATTATCTTCTAACCGCAACTTGGTTTAAATTTTTCTGAACCAGTTGCTATATCTTGTCAGAAGGCAAAGTATATATAAACAGATCGAATGAAATATGTTAAGGCTATAAATAACAATCTCTGCATTTTTCAAACAAAACTCTCAGGCCATGACACTGAAAGCTTGGTTAAGGACTTACTGATGATATCACAATCACATTGTGCAATTTCAGAAACACAGGGCTTTGAGCTCAAATAAAATGCTCTAATGAATTATGGAACCTTAGTAAAGCATGTTCAGAATTTCTTCGTACCAGATATCCGGAGGATAAAATTCACTTAACAGGACTTAATAATACAGTTGGGTAGCTTACCAACATACAAGTTCGACTGAATTAAAGTTTGACTGAACTTACAAGTTCGTATTTAGTTCGACTGAAGTAATTATTTAAAATCTCTCTCTAACTCTCTCTGAGTTTTTGCTTAATAGGAAAAAAATATTGCTAGGATAAAATTCGGCTCCTTAAAAGCTTTCAAAGGATCCATCACATTGAAAATGGCATCCTTGAAAGGGGGGAGGGTAAGAGGAATTTGTACTTTCAAAAAATAACAATAACAAACCCTTCTGTTGAGTCATTTGTATATGGGACGAGTATATAGGGAATTTTGGTATTCCTTCTCTGTAGGCACTTGTGGTGCAATAGTTAACACATCCAGCTAACATGGTAGAAGATTCTTGGTTTGATTTCTGTCGAGAGCAAAACTGATTTTCCAAGATTCAATCTCCAAAATTCCAATAGTCTGTATCTATCAGGACCTTTAATTTTTAGAAATTAATATCGTTAAAGATTATAAATGATGAAGAAAAAAATCTTACAGTAAATTAACCTTTAATATCGTGGTTCTTCGTTTAATGTTATGTTGATAATAGGAAAATATTAGTAACATTTTTCCTAAATTCTGCTCAATATTATTTTTCTAATTCAGCTCAAAAACTTAAAATTCCATTTAAAGATTGAACACATAGGTAGTAGACTTAACCTCTGAGTAATTAAAACGTTGCTGAAACGATTTAAGGAGATTCTGCGTGAAATGCATTCACTTAAACACGTAAGGTTTTTTTGAAAAGCAACGTCTGCATTATTTTACTATTATACCTGTATGTTGACTTTCATACTTAAAGTCATTGATTTTCAGTACTGTTTCTGCAAGGTCAAATGTCCCATTCTTCTTTCTTTCTTTCTTTTTTTTTTTTTTTCCTGTAGATGCCAGTGACAACGGGAGCAGTCGGAGAGAACTTGCGACGTATGACGGATCCCTCTTTGTACACAGGGGCTCACAAAGAGCGCTTTGACGAATCTGGGAAAGGTAAAGGGATCGCAGGAAGAGAAGACTTGACTGATAATTCCGGATATGTCACAGGCTATAAAGAAAAAGATACCTACGATAAACTTCATAAGAAAGATGAGGAGAAAAAGAAAGAGGACTGAAATTTTATTTATACAAATCTTTTTGAAAATTATCATGCTATAATACTCCAAAATTTATAACTCGTTATAATAAAACATATGCTTTAATCAATTGAAATAGTTTTTTTATTATATTAAATCTAAAATAAGAAGGCACACTCATTCTTTTTTAAAACAGTAAGACTGGTCGTGAGTCTTGATATGTGAACAAATCAATTCTTAAACAAAATTAATTTCTTACTGATAATGAATTACTAGGCTGCATTTATCGTCACTGATATTTTTTACCACAGTGTTAATAATTTGGTTAAGACAACAAAGCTTTCAAGGGTTAAGGAAGGAATGCGTTTCTAGCGGACTTGCATAAAAACGTTAGTTCATGCTTACACTACTAGTCGCTACTACTTAAAGTCCCAATCACATTAGAGAAAATGACCACTAAACGTCGGTACGCAAACATAAATCAAACAACATGAAGGGCAAATTTTAGCAACAGTATGAAGAAAAGTTCACTTTTTTAACAGAAAAATTCCTAAGCAGAACTTTCGTCTGATTGGTTGTCTCTACCCGGGACTGAGGTCCAGGCGAGACATTTTCGGTGAGGTTTGAAAAAAATCCCGCGTAGCCGCAACATAGTTTCCGTAGCTAGGCGGAACTTCGCTTCAGGCGGGGCTCTTTTTTTCTAGGAATCCTCCAATGCTATTTAAACCAATGCTATCAGAATCTCGTTTCTCAGAAAATTTCCGTCTAGTGTAGCCATGTGTGATAACCTCTTTAGGAAAACTACGAAAGCCATAAGTGGTTTTTCACCGCCTGGAAACAACTGAAGGTTTCGCGCCCCCTCCTGTTTTCTAAGAATGGAAGATATTTCATTCTAAAATTTCGTGACATCAGTCCGGCAAAAATTATGTTAAGAAATGTAAATATTGTTGAACAAAGAGAACGCAACAAATAAAAGAGTGTGAAACGACGCATTACGTTGCATCCAGCTTTTTATTTAAAAAAATCCCTAATCTCTCGACAATCCTTCAGTGATCAATAAGAAGGCATCCTTTTTTTTTTTTTTTTTTTTTTTTTTTTTTTTTTTGCATTATTGGCGAAACTGCTGATTCCAGCAGCTCATTTTTACTGCTGGTAATGCTATATGAAAAATTTGTTTTTACCATTTTTACTGCTGGTAAATACCTTACCCCATTTTTGCTAAAAAAGGGCAATAAACTATTCATTCATTCATTGACCAGAAAAAAAAAAAAAAAAGAAAGGAATTGTTATGGCGTCTGCTTCATCTTCGACATACTATATGCATAATTTCCACCCTTAAAAATGTAAAAAACCACTACGCAGTTTAAGATAATCATTTCAAATGTTTCTGTCAAATTACCGGAGCATTTTCCTAATAAATCCGATAACGAAATTCTTACTTTTACTGCTGATGCGATTGGCGTTTCTTTGATAAGCATGTATGAAATCCAAATTGAAAGAAAATGGTGTATGAGGGGGAAAATGACCTCTAAAAGTCGGTACGCAAACATGAATCAAACAACATGAGAGGCAAATTTTAGCAATGATAAGAAGAAAATTTCACTTTTTTAACGGAAAAATTCCTATTGGGGGGAGGAAGTGGCAAAAGTTATAAATGATGAAATTGGTTCGCCTAATGTGTCCATTTGCACAGTAGGATAAATGATGGAAGTTTTAAGGTTTCCATATAATGTAGAGTCATTAGTTTGTGAATAAATAATATAATGTAGAGTCATTAGTTTGTGAATAAAATAAACTAATGACTCTACATCACTCTACTCATGTGATGTAGAGTCATTAGTTTATTTTGAAGCAGAGGACGTGAAAAAGGAGCAGTGCCCTCGCCGGGACTCGAACCTGGACCTCTCGAAAACACACCAAGTGTGCTAACCGTTACACCACAAAGGCATGCTTGAAAGCGGGAGAAAATACCTTATAAAGGTCCCTTTTAAAGGTCGACTCAGGATTAGAGGACCCAATCGCAAAATCCTGGTCGGGATGAATTATTTTCCACAACCTTTTAGTTCGGGCGCTACTGTAAAATCATTTTTTTTTTAGAAGACATGTAAAATGTGCAATACCCTCTCGAATACGCGCCGAGTGTGCTAACCGTTACACCACGAATGTATGCTGAAAGGAGAGAGAAAATACCTTGTAACGAAAACGCATATAACAGTCGGTTTTGATTAAACGTGACGATATTGAACGCTTAAGGCACACATAGCTAAGAGATAATAATAATAAAAAAAAAATCGTACACAGGTTATAACAATTTACTGTACCGATAAAATCTGGGTAAAATTTGGGCATTCAAAAACAAAATTTGGCAGAATACAACAATAAAAGTGCCAAGACAGCCTTTTTGAGCTGCCTTTCAACAGGCCCAGTTACTTTCTCAGGAAAATGTTTACGACACATAGCTGGAATATGCTGAGAATGACGACGGATTTATTCCCAAAGCGTGCGATATATAAGTTAAAAAAGGAAGCATGAAGAAGATTATCACTAGGAAATGAATGCAGAATGCTATGAAAATTGGTTTGTAAAACAATTACTGCCTAATTTGCAACCTAAGCGTGTATTTGTGTTGGATAATGAGTCGTACCACAGCGTTTTATCTGAGAACATGCCTTCTTCATATACAAAGGAAAGCAGATATTCAGCTGCTGAAGACAGACGGACTGTGCTCCGTTGACCACAATTTCATTGAGAACTGACGCCAACTGAACTCATCTGAAGAACTGTGAAAGACTATGTAGCATCCGAAAAGCGAACTAAAAAAAAAAAAAAAAAAAAAAAAAAAAAAAAAAAAAAAAAAAAAAAAAAATTGAAGTCCATAAATTGATTTGGTCCATAAATTGATTTGTATTGATTTGGTAGCTCCTATGAAAAGGACTAAATGCGTTAGGCATGTAATAGTAGGGAAAAAATGTGGAAATTAGATTGCTTGGTAGAGAACACCGTTGAATGCGTGAAATTTAATATTAATGAGTCGGCCATTTCAGATTCTTTCAGATGACAGTCTTAGTGGAGTCGGCAGAGGGAACACGGTTTTCTCTCTAAAGGGGAAAATATCTTCGTGGGAGGACATTTTAAGAATAAAGGACTGTTTTTGTATAAATACACCGAGAGACTCGCATGCGATCCCAGTGCTTTCAGTCTCTAGAAACGAACTCGCTGCATATTACCAGTGTTTCACAGCTTTATCAACTCAGTCACTGATACCCTCGATGTGATATTTTCTTAAATTGTAGATGTTCCGATGCATGTTTATCTATTTTCTGTGTGCCTACATGCATTATTTTGCATTTTATAAATAATCTTACTTTTAAGTGTAGCTGGCCTTGACATGGCGGCGACTGAGTGCTTTCGACGGTCTTTTGAATTTTCTGTACTATGAAAACAACTTTCAAAGTACTTTTATGATTCTACATGGTTTTATTTACCTACAAATTGATTTGCATGGATTTTAACACAGTTTTCATGTGGGCTCGATGGACTCGATGGAATCGGGACTACTTTAGTTAGAATTCTTTTTGGGGAATTCACCTCTTTTTATTCACCTTTTTTTACAACAAATGTATGGTTTTAACGACTTTTCCCGATATTTGGAAAATTGATTCTTGTTCCTAAATCTACAGGTGGACATAGACCCATCTGCTTATTAAAGACCCATGCGAAAATCCTAGATAAACTCATCACGAAAAGACTTGAGCATTTTTTAACGAAAAATAATATTTTCAGTTCAAATCAATATGGTTTTCGAAAGAATATGTCTACTGATTTAGCATTATACAATGTGATCCAACAAGTCAGAGTAAAGCGACAAAGTAAACATGTAGTCCTGGTTTCCTTCGATGTTCGAGGGGCATTTGACTCTATTAGCTTGTTCTCCCTACTGTCTATATTAAAAGAAATTGGCATCTCAAGAGATCTATTTGATATAATTAAAAGTTATCTGGAGAATAAAGAACTAATTTTTATGGGCAACTCTAATACAATTATTCTTCATTATAAAATTGAAAAAGGCTGTCCCCAGGGCTCATGTAGTGCTCCCCTGTTCTGGAGCCTCATAGCAAATAAATTACTACAAGAAAATGTAACTGATATGAATATTACCTGTTATGCCGATGATATTATGGTAACTATTGCAGGAGACTCCCTCAGAAAAATAGAGGCTACTTTTAACCTGCTTGAAAATGTTTTTAGGGAATGGAGTACTGAGCAAAATATAGAATTTAATATTGAAAAAACAAATGGTATGTTTTTCCCTTGGGGAGGGAGAAATGTTAGAACCCCCAGACTGAAATATGATCAAAAAAGAATAAAATTTGTGAATACCTTTAAACACCTGGGTGTATTGATCGATGATAAGTGGAACTTTATAGAGCATTTTAAGTCCAACGAAAAATAGAAGAAATTTAAATTATTATAAAAATACTTTTACTCCAATCACTCTTTCTGACAAAAGCTTAACCCTGAGGGATATTTACAAAAATGTTATTATACCGAAAATTCTTTATGGTATTGGTGCATGAGGTAATCGAGCAGGGGAGCTGGTCAAGACAAGGCAGAAATTAGTCTCATTGCAGAGGGCCTGGGCAGTTGCAATTACAAGATCATTTAGAACAGTCCCGACAGAAGTTGCGTGCTTACTGGCTGGTGTACCGCCTCTCTCACTACAATTTAATTTACTTATGACAAATTTGTCTGAAATATAGCATAAAACAGAAAATAATGTATGAAGATAAAGCAATTACCAGCGAGGCTTTTTTAGAACATGATCTGACTTCAAGCCATCCTAGCGAATATTACGGTATATCCTACGATAAAGACTATATTTCAGCTGGAGAAATTGAAATTTATACAGATGGATCAGGGTTTGCGGAGAGCATCGGCTGTGCCTTTGTCGTATTTTCCCACGGTATTGAAATTGGTTACAAAACGTTTACTTTAAAACCAAGAAATTCAGTTCATCAAGCAGAATTGTTGGCAATTAAAATGGCTTTATCCTAGATCAAGAAATTATCCGTGGGGTATTACATTAATTTATACTCAGATACCTTATCTGCTCTTATGGGCACTCTCTCG